ACTTGTTTCAAGTCATCCATATATATATAACTTATTAATATTTGCCAAATTATACTACTGTTATTAACAATAACATTACATACATATCCTCAGTACTATTACCACCCCATCTTGCAACTACAACTATCTTTGACCGTTATCTACCTATTTTATCCTTTTTTATCTTTCTACCCTCAGTTTTTATTCTAATTGTATTTTTATTGTATTTTAATGTATGGCTGCTATGCGACCCAATTTCCTTCGGGGATTAATAAAGTCTATCTATCTATCTATTCTATCTATCTATCTATCTATCTATCTGTCTATCTATAACTATTCACCACAGTAAAACAACAGGAATTAAAACCGCTGTCAGTGTTTATAGCCTTTATTTCCTTTCACCAGGTTCTTCGGTGGATGGTGAGAAATGCCACCTCTGCTCCCCCTCAGTTTAACCTCCAGCCTTTATGCATCCAGTGCAGGTTGTGTTCCTCCAGCAGCCAGAGTACTCTGCAGTCAACGCAACAGCACCATCAACTCAGTACTTCATCCAGGAAGCCAGTCACAGAGCTGCCCCTACAGTCTTTGCTCGACATGGGATTCACAGACACCCAGGCAGAGCGGCTTTATGACACCATGTCCAAACTCAAAGGAGGAAGTGCTGCCAAACATGCTCTGTCAACTCTCGAAGCTCTGTTTGTGTTGGGCCTCAACCCTTCCAGTGTGCTCAAACTGCTGGAGAAATGTCCTGAACTTTACACCGTCAAGGATTCGCAACTTCAGCAGTGCATAAGCAACCTACGGAAACTTGGTTTAGGTGAAGGTGAGATCATATTTGTGCAGTCCAATTTATCATGACATTGTTAAAGCACTTCAAGACCTGAGTACTCAATATTAATAAGAAGCTTTGTGTGATTATCAAACCGGTAATTTCCCTTATATGCCCCTTTAGGCAGTCTTCAGAGAGTGGTGGCCCATTACCCCCAGATCCTGACTGTGCCTGTGAAGACAATAAAGAACGTGGTGCTGTTCCTCAGGGAGAAGTGCCTGTTCACCGTCCAGCAGGTCACGGACATCCTCAGAGAATGTCCGGCCATAGTAGCGGAAAACACGGATCAGCTGGAGTACAAGTTTCAGGTCAGCATGTAAACCAAACAAGAGGAATGCCATAATGGGCACTGATGTTTTACAGACTTACTAATGAGACAAAGAAAATTGAAATTGGTCGATTAATTAATTTGTGAATTGACAGAATATTACTTACTACTGAAAAATGTAAGCAGTAATTTATCAAACGACACATTCACTGTTTCCATCTCCTCAAATGTCAAATCTTTGGGCTGTAACTTGGAGAAAACAAAGACATAACCTTGGAAATTGTGATCTGCTTTTTTTCTATTTACAATTTTCAGACATTTTATAGAAAAGATTATTAATCGATAAATCAAAATGAAACCAGAAATTATCATTAGTTGCGAGCCTAATTAAAATATATGGAAGTTCAGTACAGTTACATTAGATTTGACAGACAGGCAACAGTTCCCATGGTAAAGTGCAGTTCTCATGGTAGACTGCAGATTTATTGACTTCCTCAAAACTTGATCAAACATCTTATCAAAAGGCCAGCGTCGTTGTAAAAGACAGCAGTGTCCCACAACAGCACTTTCCAAACCAGCCACTGAGAAGACTTGACTTTTCCAGTGTGTACACACTATATAGGCCAAATCTGCTTAGTAGTATTTGGACGCTGCTATAGGACTCCCTCTGGTGGCCATAATTGGACTCTCTTGGGCAACAGTGGCTGTGAATGGGTTGTAGTGTAAGTTATAAAGTTGTGTATGACTTGGCCATCTCTACAGGATAGAACATTTCAGCTCAATTTGATATTAAGCAATATATAATCCATTTTTTAATTATTATTATATATGTATAATATGATCTGGTGAGTTACTTGTTACTTTTTTTCTGTAGGTACATTGTGTTTGTATACACAGGATGTATTATAAGTCATTATTTGGGGTTTACTCTAAGCGTTTTATGTCATACCAGTCTAATAATTGTTTGTTGTGTTTAACAGCGTGTATTAACCCATCTCTCCACAGTACGTCTACTTTCGAATGGGTGTCAAACAGGCAGCGATGGTGAAGTACAAACTGTTCCGTTCCACTCTGGACGAGGTGCGCCATCGACACTGTTTTCTGGAGCGCAGGGGCCTGTATCAAACCCCAGACAAGCGTGGACAGACGGTCATCATCAACCCCAAACTGGACACCATCCTCAACGCTGACCAGGACACTTTCCTCACAGATGTTGCCATGGCATCAGCGGAGGAGTATGATGTGTTTAAGAGACTGATGGCGAGAGAATGGCAGGAACAGGAGCCGCAGCTGGGCAGCATTGAAGCTGATAGTGATGATGATCATGAGGAAGAAGAGGAGGATGAAGAGACTGGGGGAAAAAGCGGATACAGGAATAGGAGAAAGAGGTCATAGTGGCGAAGGGACTGAGAATATTTGAAAGAGGAAATGAAATGATTCAAGAAAATGACATATCTGATGGTGATTAATAAAATGTTTCCTTTTAACTGTTTGTTGAACTCCGGTTGGTGCTATTGAATTCTAATCTAAAACACACATGGAGACATGATGTTGTGGTTATCATTATGTAGCTTGTTCTCCTTTGAATGTAGCCGTCATAGCAACGCATTCGAGTGAGTGAACCCTCAGAGTTGATTTCTGTGTTGATCTACGTTGCAGCATCAGGCAGGACGCGAGGTATGATGACGCCAGTGTGACGTTAGGCTAATAGATCAGGACTCTATATGCAAGACTGTAATGGTGAAAAGTTTCTCCTATTCATTCTTTCCACTGTCAAAAATAATTTGACTTCCTTTAAGTGACCCGAAAGCAATTTGGGAGTAAGTGCCTTGATGCTTGGAGGAAATGTGGAGGAAATGTGACTCTAATCAATGTAATTGAGATGGTTTTAAAACGAGTTCTTACAGTCAAATCAGATTTAAAACATCTTGGGTATAAAACACTGAAAAGGCAACAGCACAAGGGGCAATGGAGAGGATGAATGCTCCACCCCGTTACTATGTGATGGCCAAGTGGCTGTATCTTTCCCCATCCCTATATTATCTGAGTGAGTCAACAAAGAGTACATTAGATAAGGCCAGCGGGTGAGACGAGTCGTACAAAACACCCATTGATTTATAGAAGCGTTAAGCCTAATGGATGTAAAACGCAGCGAGGTTTTTCTGTTCTGGACATCAGGTAAGAAAACTTACCTTTGGTCAATCAATAAGTTGTCAATAGGTGTGTCAGCACAAAGTAATTATGTTTGTATTATTCCCGTGAAGTCTTTTATCTATTAAATACTAATTCCCAGCCTGAGAATGTAGGCAGTATAAAATACATTAAAATGAACCGCAAATAAAGTCAATTGTAATGTTTTTTTTTATTAGAAATGTATATTTGTATATGTTTCTTACATTGAGTTAAATATTTACTAACTAACTAAAATAACTTCATCATTTGCATTGGTTTTCATCAACAACACTCAAGGGGCAAAGTCCATTACTGTATGGTGTTCATATTTGAATTATTGTAACACTCCATGTCGAGACCCATGTTTGCTCATATAGGTAGGAAGGTGGCACCCTCAAACTGCAGGCCAAAGTGACCTAAATCAGATTGTATTTCTTATTTTTTTGCCCATATGTGACGCAGATCTCTTTTTGTTTTCATGACAGTGTGAGCAGCACAGATCACATGCAATCTCTTTTTTTCTATTCTGATTTGGGCCACTTTCATATGTGGCCCAAATCAGATACAGGTCGGGTTTTCTGCAATGTGAACATATCAAAATACAAGTGACCTTTATGTCGCTGCAGATCAATATTCCTCATGCAGGACACTTCAGAAAAAAAATCAGAATGGGGTTGCCAAGGCTTGCTGTGTGAGCGTAGCCTCTGATTGTTGATAGTAATTTATGATGTTTTTATTCACAGGTAGCTGCTGGAGGAAGTAGCTAACACACCATAAACTCCACACCTCAGTTGGAGCATTTGTCTCTCCATAAGGCAAAAGACAAAATGACGTCATCAATACATATTGCAAACATCACGCAGGATTGGGTGGAGAGCGTGCGGAGGTGGCATCTGGAACTTTTTTTCATCCCTACCACGGTCATCACTCTGGCCACCTTGGTAGCCAACCCTGTTCTCCTAGCGTGCATTTTCCTGTCTCGTGCCTTGCGTCAGGAGACACGTTACCTGCTGCTGGCCAACACCCTGACAGCAGACATGCTCTTCCTCATCCTCAACCTGACCACGGTGATCTGTAACGCTGTGGGAGCTCAGATACCCTGGCTGGTCTGTGAGCTGGTCACCGCCGTCACTGTCACCGCCTACTGCTGTGCCATCCTCACCGTCACCCTCATGGTGGTGGACACCTACGCTGCGGTTCGCTGGCCCCTCCATTACCATGACATTCTTCCACCTGCCCGCACCCACCGCATACTGGTGGGGGTGTGGGTGGTGGCGGCGGTGTACCCTTTCACCCTGTTGATCATGATGGAGGCAGAGAGGGAAAGTCACCACGAAAATGTGGCTGTGTGTCTGGTCCTCATCTCCCTCGGCTTCATTCAGCTAAAGAACACAGTGGGGATCCACACCTACTTCTTCGTGGCTGCTCTTATCTGTGCTACACTCATTTTTTACTGCTACATTCGGCTCTACATGGTAACAAAGACCCATGGAATCTGGCAGAGGCGCTTCTCCCGGGCCCGGGTCACGCTGCTGGCTCATGGGGTTCTGCTCCTGCTCTATTTCGCCCCCGGCTTTGTCTTCACCCTGGAGCTCTTCTTCTTCCATAGGAAAGACATAAGTCAAGATGTTCGTGTGTGGGTCAGCACGGTCAACATGTGTGTTTTCATGTTGCTGCCAAGGGCGTTCGCTCCGTATCTGTATGGGCTGAGGTACAGGGAGATCTCTGATACTCTAATGCAGCTGCTGCACCAGCACAGGAGACTCAGCCAGATCACCGTTTCATAAAGACACTTGTAAACTGTCCATTTTCCATACCTATACATAAAACATCTTTAACGGCATTACTACCAACTGCAAGGGCAGTAGCAGGGATTTTAAAAATACTGAGGTCATGAGTCCAAATTCCCTGAATCTGACTTTTGTTTTTTGCTTGGTCATAAGAGCTCTTTTACTGCTCTGTGAATCCAAATGAGAATATGCGAAACTCCCTTGTTTTCCAAGTTTATGTCTCAGTGTTGAGGCATCTGTAATCCCATAATTTGTTTTTTTTAAATAAACTGTTCGACCCAAATATGTATTTTATCATCATTATGTAATGTAAAAGCAATGTGATGTAATGTAGCGCCTGACAGTTTTATAACCATGGTAACAAAGCACTTAGCTCCATTTGCCTCCATTAGCTGTATTTGTCTAAAACTGGATGTCCAAGAAGATCATTAACAAATGGCCAACTGACTTGGCAATTTAAGGCGCTAGAGGAGAGAAGAGAGCACCTTCCCTTGTTTAGGGAAGGCGTGGTGGATAGTGATGAGTCAGAAATCCTGGCTCCAGGGACTTATTTCTGTCTCTGATGTGCGCAATCTGTAACTGGTACAGCAAGTCAACAGCAGAGGGACACATTTGTCTGTCCATTGGGCTGCGTCATGGCTTTTCCCTGCAGCAAATGAACTGTATGTGTGTTTGCTTGCTATCAACAAGCCACTGAACCTTGCTTCCGTCACACACGCTCTAAACCTCTGCTCCCGGGTGCTCACTGCCAACCTTTCTGCACCTCCAGGTGGATCAGACTCACATAAAAAGAATCACATTTGCTATTGTTTGCCATTTCTATATCAATTTCCATGCCACTGTAATTAAACAACTCTACTGATGACTAATTCATTTCTGTATTGATTTGCCTGTTTTCCATGGAAATATTTGCTCTTGGAAGTGATGCTTCCTGCTCATCTTTCTGATGATGTAATTTTTCATCCGTTGCTAAATTATTGTGTTTCAACTTACGGATGTTCCAGTTAGTGTGTATAACTGAGGGTGACAAAAAGCCCTTTCACTGTACCTGCTCGTCTTCAGGAGACCTAGGACTGAAGATTCATGTACAATAGTGGTGTGTAAAAAGGGCAGAGACAGCACTTTGTGTTTCTAATAACTATGTGTTCATGAATATAACATATGGATATTGTATACGCAGACATCAACTTCCACAGACAGAAGTATGATGTGTAAAGGGCCCAATACTACGCACGTGGTTGAACAAAGTGTAAACTGGGTCATTAATAACATGGTGGACTTTTCAGGGAACACAGCTGGGGGCTCTCAGAAATATATTTTGCAACAGGGGGAGGAAGTTGTGACATCCTTTGTTCAAACTAAGATCCTCCTTCCTTCTCACCTGAAAAAAAAAAAATGGTAGCATGGTGCGTTTCACCCTGTCTTCACGTGTCCATAGGGTCACATTACAGCTATTGTTTCGTTAGGCACATATATGCCTTGCCTGTGTGTCTATAGGAGTATGGTTAATCCCGTCTAACCAACTACGTGTTCACACACGTAACGCCATTGTACTGGTGTTGTTTTGAGAGTATTGCTCAATCGCCGCCACTTTCTTGTTGTGAACTTTTTCTTCACTAAAGTTGAGTTTGTTTGCAAACAAAGGACAGCCACGTGGAGAACTAGAGGCGCCTGGGAAGTGTCGTTTCTCATAGAGGAAACAGTAAGACACGACACCCGCACTTGAACTCGGGTACCCAGGATGCAACGGGTCCAACAGCTGAGTGGGCTGGATTATTTTTTTCTCTCTCTCCTGACAACTATAAATGGGTTCTGTGTTTACTGTTAGCCAGTTAGAGCTCTTTGTTTTTTTCATAACCTCAAAATCAAAATGTCCCGGCTATGTTGCAGCCTACATTGTTTGCCATAACTGTTCGAGGGCAGATACTGTAAAAGATACTGATAAACTTTTTTAGGATATAGATACATTTTTATTAACTTTTTTGTTGTTGTTGTTTTTCCTCCACTTGTAATTGAAGAGGAAGCCTGCTCTGGGGAAAAAAACCGCTGCATAAGGTAAACAACTTTTATCCAGCTATAGTGAGGGATGTTGTTAACGTTTATGAGGCTCTACATTTAGCATTATTTTTGGTTCTCCGGTTAAATTTGACTCAGTTTACCGAGTAACGCAGTGGCTCGAGCTACGTTTTTAAAAAGTTTGTTGTCAAGGGCTAACGGTCGGCACGAGGCAAGTATTGTCCAATTAACCGAACCAAATAATAATAATAATAATAATAATAATACATTACAATAAGAAATACATTGCATTTGATTGTCTGTCATTAGTACTGAAATAATGAGATAAACAAATTATATATATTTTTCTAAAATAGCAACAACAACAAAATCCTGGGTGTATTATTTTGACATGAGCCTCTGTTCATTTCAAGATGACTTTATTTTACCAGGATAACAGCAGAAAGTAGAGTAATTAAAGCACAATAACACAATAAAACCTGCCTTATTTCATTTTATGACGTCCTTACGATATTATATTATTGTATTTGTCCACCTCAGTGGGAATTAGTCACTAAGTCAATATGTCATGCGTCAGACACCTCTGGATAAACCTGTCCTCTCTTTAACAGCTTCTAAAGGTGCTGCAGCTTGGAAATGTAACGCACGTGAATAGGTTGTGTCGAGGTTGAGCCAAAGTTTATAAATAACCCGCGATAAATGACCTCACAGGAGCAAAGGCTAGACCTGCTGCCAACCCTAGCACATGAAGTGGGGTCACAGATAAGAGAGTCTAATGTTTGGATCCACTATCCTCGAGAACTTGAATACAGGCTGTCCTAACCCTTAAAGATAAGGCATAAACAATCATAACTCATGATGCAACTTTGGTTGTTTGCTTTGTTGACTTTTTCTGAAAGAGACACGTCTTAAGACTGCAGGTTTTACTAAGACAGTAAATATGAGTAAATGTTATCAGTAGCACTGCCTTTGCACTTGATCAAACAAGGTTATGTCTGACAGCATCCCTGCCCCCACTCCGCTTTAAAACAAACCTGACTGACATGTAGGTAGGCCTTCCAACCGTTGCTCAACCTCTCTCCCGCCTGTGTGCCTCTTTGTCATCTTCCATCTCACGCAGTTCATTGTGCTGCAGGGAACAAATGTTTTGCATCAGCGATGAGCTAGCTAGAGGAACCACC